GAAAGTATCTTCTTTCCTCATTGCTCTTCTGGTCAGGTGCCAGCTAGGTTATTTGAACTGATTAACCCCTTACAGCTAAGGTGATTCAATACAGCTGCCAAGGAGGGATTTTTATGCTACCCATCTCTCTATATTTATGACAGTTGTATTCAGCAGGACAGCTGACTTGCCCTTACTACAAAGTTTTTGCAAATAAATCTCTGAGAAACTTCAGGGTATATCAAAAAACCTGTGACTGACATTTTTTATTCCCAAGTTTAGTGCTTTTAATTAGTTACCTTCTGCATGTCCAGTCTTCACGTTCCGGCATGCAGTGGAAAACATGCTCCATTTTCTTTAACAAGAAATTGCAGAAGAGTGGTTTTTTTTTCAAATGTCATTTGCTTCATTTGGGTTCAGGGGTTTGGCTGGAAGGGGGTGATTGGGAGGGGGAGGGACGAGAGGAGGGAGACAGTGGGGAGAGGGCAAGGCCTGGGCAGTGGGGGCGGGATCTGGGGTGGAGTATGGGCAGGGCCACACGTGGGCTGGGGAACTAGCCTCCCCAAGAGGCAGCTTCACCCACCGCCCATGGGAGCAGGTAAGAGCGGGTCGGCTCCCGAACACCCAGTGTGCATTGCAATTTCCTTAGGCAGGAGCCGTATTCACAGAGCCGAATGCACCAGTGTGGCGCATTCTGTGTGAGGGTATGGGGAGGGTTCAGAGGTCTCTGCGGGGAACTGTGACTCTCCTCCACCATGAGGTGGGCTGGGCGTCTCGGTATCCTTTGCTGCCTCGTCCCTCCCCCCCCAGGGCTATGAGCCCGGGCTGCCATCAGGCATAGGGGCACCAGTTTAATAATACTGCATAGGGCCCCTTAAATCCTAAGGACAGCCCTGGCTGCACTCTCCCCTTCCTGGACTCTGCCTTGGCTTTCTACCTTCGGGAATCTGATCTCTGCTGGGCCTTCTCCTTTCTGGGGTTTGTTTTCCAGGGCTCCTTTCCTCAGCTTTGCTCTCTGCTGGGTTCCCTGGCGCTAAAGAGATCCCTCGCCATGGTGATGGCGCAATCATTGAGACTGATTGTGACCTCAACATTTATGTGGATGATGAATCCTCTGAAAGAGCCCAGGATATGAACTCAGACAGCTGGGCACACTCTCAAAGAGGGGTTTGGGCTGGCAGCTGTGGTGAGGAGTCTTGAAATGATTCCTTTGTCGGTGGGCCTCAGGCTCAACCTCAACAAGTCAAATCTAGTTCCCTCTCTATCCGCGCAATTCACAGGGTCAGTTCTCGACTGGAAGGCAGAGAAAGCCATCCAGCTTTCTACAGCCAGGCAGTCAGAAACCACACGATATGCTTTAAGAGAAGGTTCAGGATAGACACCTTAACACACTTAAAGCGCCTTCACCAAACAAGGACACTCCACCAGCGAAGTCGGTCTCATCATGGAATGGGCCACCGAGATACCTCGAGAGAACCTGCTTCAATGCAGAAAACTGCCCCACTGACTACACACTCCCACTTGTCACTTACCACCCTACACTGGAACTTATACGGGGTATCATCCAACAATTACAACCCATACTTGATGGGGCCCACACCCTGAAAGAAATCATTCTCAACCCCACTCTTCTGCCCTTCAAACAACCCCAGCTTTGCCAAGCTCATCCTCAGAAGCCAACTCTCCACATACCAGGACCCACCAAGTCAAAGCAGCATCAGGCCCTGCCAGAAAAACCTATTCAAAACCTGCAGACACATCTGTGACACTGCACCCCATTTTCATCATAGTGGTATCGTTATGATATGATTATGACATAGTTATGATGTATCTTGTACAAAAAGTGTCATGTGAGGTGTCCATGAAAAAGTTATGATGTGTTGAATATGATTATCCTATTTGTGTGCATGTATCATATTTGTATTTGGAGTTATGAAGATTGACTATGTATCTGTATTTCAAATGTGGTTACACCTGGGTGACACCCACTAGGCAAGATGCTTCCAGTCTGGACAGCTGATTGTGAAGGGCCTATTCATCCATTAAGGAAACAATAGGCCTTGGGAGAAGCTTGTCCCCGACCTGGTGAGCCTCCCTGGAAACGCTTCAGACAGCCTACGGACAATGACTTCTGTGACTCATTGGGAGCACGCAAGGGTATGTGACCAGATCACATGATACTAAACTCCATTTTGGCACCTTTATTTTTCCACAAACTGAGCTGGGAACTTAGCTTGGAACAAATTGGCTGGTGTCTCCTGTTTGTCCATAAGTGGCTTAGGTAAAGCACTCAGACAACTCAGTTGTGTGTGTGGCGCCATCTGCTGTCATGTTGGGTGATAACAGGACCTGGAGAGGGCTGGCTGAGTCACCAGCAGAGCAGTGTAAGAGAGGCCAACCCACCTGAATTGTTAGGGGGCACAGCAGTTCCGACCCAAATGCACCCCCGGGGTGTGACAATCTGTCACAACATCTCCACTGGTAAGATGACCAACACCCCCCCATTTCCCTGCTCACCTCCCTGCTGTGACTGTAGTTGAATTCATAGTACAGTTAATGAGCAGTTTTTTCTATACACAAATACATCGATTCGGAATCACAGTCTGTGTACGTCTCTTATAATCATTATTGAGCTGAGAACATTACAAGCTTTCATAAAAGACCTTACTCGGTATGTTCTTATAGTCTAGTAAGTTGTAAACAATCAGAGGAAGTTATCTGCTTATTTTTAGGGTTTAAACCTTCTTTTCTGTCCTTGGATGTCTGGACCCTGATTGTCACAATGGAATCTTCAGGGAACTTAGCTGCCACAGTCAAAAAAGCTTCTACTGATCACGTGTGAAGTGCAGTTTTCCCAAAGGCTTATACTCTGGCCAACTTTGGGCTGATTTTCACCAGGCTGGCAAAAGACACATCCCTGACCCAAAGCCTATCCCAACTCCCAGCTCCACGCCATGGTGGGCTAGAGCAGTTCAGATAAAATGTCAGAATGGCATCATGTGAGAAAAATAATGTTCTTGGTCTCAGAAACCACTGAACCCTTTGGGTGAAAATAATAATAATTATTATTATTAATAAAAACCATTAATAATAAAATCCACCATGAGGCAGACAGCTGGCATGGAAAATTCCAGCCCAAAGGGTTGAAGTCTGGCAAAGTTAGATTGAGCTGAGAACACGGTCTTGTCATGGGCAGTGTGAGTCAATAATAATTGGGTGTGCAACCAGCCACACCGGTAGCAAGGAGAGGGAGCATAGCCTAGTGGATGGAGCATTGGACTGGGGCTCAGGAGACCTACAGTCTATTCCTGGCTCTGTCAGTGGATTGCTGGATGACCTTGGGAAAGTTACATCTGTGACAGGTGCAGAGCTACGAAGACAGGGACTATTCAAAGACTTTTGTATCAACTTTATCAGTGGGATCCGTATTTTTAGGGGCTGGCTAGTGATTGTATTCCTGGCTCCATGGATGAAAGAAAAGCTATTTTCTCAAGGAAAGAAAGACAACAGTTGGGTAATTAACACAAATCTCCAACACAGAAACAATGTCGGTAACAAGGCTTGTGAAGTTTGGCCCAATGGGGAATGTCATTGACTGGTTTGACCTGGTTAAAGAGGCCTTAGAAGAAAAAAGCAACAATACTGTATAAAAGATCAGCCTGATCAAAGGAGGGTCCAAGAACTGACCTGAACTGGTGACCAGACAGGACCTGTGGCGGGATCTGAAGTACTTAAAAACCTGCCAGGGTCACCCTGGGGGCAGTGGTGAGCACCTGCTGAGCTAGACCTCGGAAACACTGATTATTGGGTTCAGAGACGTTTGCTCGGAAATGCTTTTGTTGTGAATAAACGGGACTTCGCTTTCTGAGAGCTGGCTGGTCACTGCCTAGCCCAGCCACGGCCCAGCAGAGAACAGGGCCACAGATGCTGAACTGACTTCACCTCTGCTGAGCTGATCGTTGTGAATTGCAGCCTCAGGCTCCTGCACTGAAGGGAGGGGATTGCAGTATCCAGCCCCAGGATGAGTGACAGCTCAGAAGCTCGCAGCCCTCTCTGTGTCTCAAGGGGAGTAAATCACACCGAGACCCCAGCCCACTTTACTTTCTTTATTTCCTTCACAGATGTCTACAGCTGAGGCCATACTTCTCCTCCCAGGGAGTAGCTCCGGCAGGAGCGAAGCAGCGTCGTTCACTGGAGAACGCCAGCCTTTCTGGACTCAGCGGTAGAACAGCAGCACGGCGGATTCAATCATCTCCTTGGATACGCTCCAGTGCCGATGGATTCCATAGCCGTCCCAGGCAAAGGCAGGAAAATCGCTGCACTGAACCGGGTTCCCTTCTGCGAAGAACCCTCCTCCACCCAGGCAGTGCTGGGGAAAAAACAGGGGTTGCCAGGCAGGAACAGAGCAGGGGCCCATCTAGCTGTTCTCCTCTCTCCAGGCCAGTGCCAGATGCTTCAGAGGAAGGTGCAAGCAACCCTGCTATAGCCAGTTGGCAAATAATCTGCCCACAGAGAAAGTTACCTCCTGACCCCTCCACAGTCAGAGGTCAGCTAATGCCCTGAAGCATGAGGGTTTAAATCCCTTCCTACCTCTTGGGACCAGAGCCTCCATTGCCCTGACTCTTGTGCAGTTACTTACTCTGGTGCAATGGGCCCCCACATGCCAGCATTTGCCACTGGTGTGAGTGTCTGCACAAGGGGCAGGGCCGGTTTAGGCCATTGGGTTTTGTTATTATTATTTATTATTTGCATTGCAGTACCACTTCAGAGCCTCAGTCCTGGGCAGGCCCTCTGGTTCTAGGTGCTGTACTGACATAGAACATAAATACGGCCAAGGTGCTCACAATTTATCCCTTACCATAGGAGTTTGGGGGAGACCTGCACTGGGAAGGTTGGCAGGGGCCAGAAAGCCTGATGCAGGAATCCCTGTGGGAGGTTCTCTGGCATGTGCTATGCAGGAGGTCAGACTAGAAGATCCATCATACTGACCCTTGTGGCCTTTGCATATGTGGATCTGTGAAGGCACCAGAGAAGGGGCTGCTGGGGAAGGGGCTGCATTGGTGTGTATCACACCCTAGAACAGAAATCTAGTCTTAAGCTGGGCAGGCAGCATGGACTAGTGGATACAGCACAAGATTGGGACTCAGGTGATTTGGATTTTATTCCTGGCTCTGCCTCTCTGTGCCTCAGTTTCCCCTTCTGTAAAATGGGGGTGATGGTACTGACCTCCTTTGTGCAGTGCGTTAAGATTTGATGAAAAAAGCCATACCAGAGCTAGGGATTATTATTACAAATGCTACAGCTAGGGCCCTACCAAAT